TCAGCCAAAATGCACAAGTCTAGTTTTCACATACCTACATCCAAAGTGACAAATCTTTAGCACAGTATTTCTCAAGTTGTCTGAGGTTCAAAATTAAGTGTTCATGCATACAAACAGCAAATAGTTTGTTTGCTCATCACGTCACGTTGAGGTGATTACAGATGCCACAAGTTGTCATTACAATGTAAAATGTGCCTAAGAAAATATCTAGAATTGAAATGTCATCTGTCCAATTGGGTTCTCTTCAAGGTGGGTTTTGCTTATTGATTCTCCGCATAGGTGCTAATTATGCACCACGTAACATGGATATTGGATGCTGTTGAGTCAATCAACCCTTGGTAAATGATGTTCAATTTTAAATATTTCTTGATTGCTTCTCTCCTGTCTACACAAGCCCACACATCTGCATGCTCCCTGGAAATGAATAGTTGTCAAAAGAACAAAACATGTATTATCTGTGCTCTACACTGACTTACCCATCGCTGAATAAAATAACAAAGACTGTCTCTGAATTGCGTGACAGTTTCAAAAAAAATCACATCAGAAGGATTGAATGGGGATGAAAAATATAATGCTATGCTTGACGAAGAAGTGAAGTCGTTATTTCCAATGAAAAGAACTTAATGATGTGTACGGAAAGGAGAAGTTTGCCTGAGCAGGAAGCAGGAAAAGAATTCTGGAAACTTTGCGAGTCGAAAAATGTTTGTTAGGAAGATTGTGAAGCAGACTCCAAAATACAGATGACCTTATATACCCACATATATACATACATATTACAGAAATACTGCTCATTAACTTGATCTGTGTCTATTATTATTATTATTATTATTATTATTATTATTATTATTTTCAAGACCCTTAGAACAACATTTCTCAACTTGGGGGTTGGTGTTGCAATCCAGAGCAGGGAACGAGGCCCTAAGATAACTATCCACCACACTTGACTGTGAAAAACAATCCTTTTTTATTGAAGAAAAATGGTTACAGAATAAAGGAAAAATGCAAGTCAAAAGCCACAGCAAAATCAGCAAACATGAATTTAAATGGACAAAGCAAAACCCAAAGCCACACTGTGAAATACTGGAACCTGTTAGCAATCCACTAACCGTACTTGATATCCTAGAAATCTTCCCAAACTATGGCCAGGGAACCGGGAGAACTGCCAAGGTCTTCATCAATTCTGAAACGATGCCTGAACTGAGACAGTCAGCCCGGCGTAAGGCAATTAAAGCTCAAGAATTGGTTCCGTGAACCGCCCTTCTTCTTTGAAGCCAATGTTTTTAATTCTTGAATTCGGGAGGATCGACGCAAACTGAGTGATTTACTTCTGTCTTCCCAAATTTGACCCCTTCTGTTGTCATTACAGTTAACAGGTGCAGAAGGGAGGGAAAGTTCAAGGCTTCCCTCTGAAACATTCTCATGAACACTGGTACTTTCATTTTCCAAATCTACAGAAGTTCCTTCCTCACTAATTTCAGGAACATTGGCATTTTCCAAACCTACAGCAGTTTCTTCCTCACTAATTTCAGGAGCATTGGCATCAAAAGGTACATTTCCATTAGCATCAGTAAATATATTTTCATTAGCATCAGGAGGAACAAACAGAGAATCAGGTTCAAGTTCAAACTCAGGCTGAACCCCAACAGTTGGGACCACTTGATTGGTCATTAAATGAGGGTTGCAGCAGTCTTGGGAAGGGAGTGGAGGTACTTGAAGTCCCATCATCAATGGTCTGTCCTCCTCAAAAGTGCACCAAGATGTAGATGGGTCATGCGGGCTATGTGTGCCAAGTTTGGTCTTGATCAGTCATTGGTGAGGGTCTCAGTGGTCTCAGGAAGTGAGTGAAGTTACTGCAAGTCCCATCATCCATCTCCAAATTTTTCCAAACCGCACCAGGATGTAGAGTGGGTCATGCGGGCTCTCTGTGTGAATGGTGATCCTGATCCATCATTGTTGGCAGTTGTAATGGTCTCAGGAAGGGAGTGCATGTATTGCAAGTCCCATCGTCCATGGTGCATCCTCCTCCAAACCACAGCAGAATGTAGAGTGCATCATGGAGACTCAGTGTGCCAAGTTTGGTCTTTATTGGTAATTGGATGAGGGTTGCAGTGGTCTCAGGAATTGAGCAAAGGTACTGCAAGTCCCATAATCCATGGTCCATCCCCGGCCAAACCACACCAGGGCATAAAGTGGGTCATGAGAGGTCTATGTGCCAAGTTAGTTGTAGATCAGTCATTGGATGAAAGTCACAGCGGTCTCAGAAAGTGAGTGATGGTTGCCAAAGTCCATCAGAAAACACAGCATTTTCGGTTGGTCATGGAGGTTCGGTGTGGGAAGTTTGGCCCAATTCCATCGTTGGTGAAGTTCAGAATGCTCTTTGATTGTAAGCGAACTATAAATCTCAGCAACTACAATTCATAACAGTACCAACATTACAGTTATGAAAGTAGCGATGAAAATAATTTTATGGTTGGGAGTCACCACAATATGAGGAACTGCATTAAGGGTTGAGAAACACTGGTATAATGCTTTGAATGTCAGACTTCATATCTGAAGCTTACATCCTGAGGAGCCACTACTGAAGCCAACCTAAATACAATTAAGAGTTCCATAAAAAATTGAAAAAATTGGGTAGACTCTAAAACCAAAATTACAGTTATGTAAGTAGCAACGAAAATTGATTGGGTGGGCAGGAAAAACGAAATGCAAAGATACAGAATGGGGGATGCTTGGCTCGAGAACACTACATGTGAAAAAGATCTTGGAGTCCTCGTGGACAACAAGTTAAACATGAGCCAACAATGTCATGCGATGGCAAAAAAGCCAACGGGATTTTGGCTTGCATCAATAGGCATCTAGTGTCTAGATCTGGGGAAGTCATGCTGCCCCTTTATTCTGCCTTGGTCAGACCACACCTGGAATATTGTGTCCAATTCTGGGCACCACAATTCAAGAGAGATATTGACAAGCGGGAATGTGTCCAGAGGAGGGCGACTAAAATGATCAAGGGTCTGGAGAACAAGCCCTATGAGGAGCGGCTTAAGGAGCTGGGCATGTTTAGTCTGAAGAGAAGGCTGAGAGGAGATATGATAGCCATGTATAAATATGTGAGAGGAAGCCACAGGGAGGAGGGAGCAAGCTTGTTTTCTGCTTCCCTGGAGACTAGGACGCGAAACAATGGCTTCAAATTACAAGAGAGGAGATTCCATCTGAATATTAGGAAGAAATTCCTGACTGAGAGCTGTTCAGCAGTGGAACTCTCTGCCCAGAGTGTGGTGGAGGCTCCTTCTTTGGAAGCTTTTAAACAGAGGCTGGCTGGCCATCTGTCAGGGGTGATTTGAATGCAATATTCCTGCTTCTTGGCAGGGGGTTGGACTGGATGGCCCATGAGGTCTCTTCCAACTCTTTGATTCTATGATTCTATGATTCTATGTATCAGGTATTTGTGCCAAATTTGGTCCAGCGAATGAAAATACATCCTGCATATCAGATATTTACATTATGATTCATAACAGTGCCAAAATTACAGTTGTGAAGTAGCCAAGAAAAGTCTCAGCCAGTCCTCTTCTTTGCAGATTCAACCATTCATTGGAACTCTGGCTAGATGCTGCAAGGGGATATACCTGATTGGGGCTTCCTGATGCTGAGCAGAATTCGGGAAATGTAGTTCAGGGCTGGGCCTTTTGCATTCTCTGGCATAAAGCTCCTCACCTTCCCAAACTACATGTCCAAGAATCATGTGCTTTCTCTACCTCTTTCCCAGTAAACTTTGCTTTCTCCCTGCTGCTTCCCTCTCCTCATGGTGAGAGGCCATTAATTTGAAAAGGAAAGGCAGCCTTTTTGGCTTTGCTTTGCTTCCTTGCACTGAAAATGAAACTGACTTTGGGAGGCTTCCAAGATTTACAAAATTACATGAACCTATCATAGTTCCTCATGTTGTGGAGACCCCCAGCCAACTTTGCTTTCTCCCTGCTGCTTCCCTCTCCTCATCGTGAGAGGCCATTAATTTGGAAAGGAAAGGCAGCCTTTTTGGCTTTGCTTTGCTTGCTTGCACTGAAACTGAAACTGACTTTGGGAGGTTTCTAAGATTTACAAAATTACATGAACCTATCATAGTTCCTCATGTTGTGGAAACCCCCAGTCAACTTTGCTTTCTCCCTGCTGCTTCCCTCTCCTCATCACGAGAGGCCATTAATTTGGAAAGGAAAGGCAGCCTTTTTGGCTTTGCTTTGCTTGCTTGCACTGAAAATGAAACTGACTTTGGGAGGTTTCCAAGATTTACAAAATTACATGAACCTATCATAGTTCCTCATGTTGTGGAGACCCCCAACCAACTTTGCTTTCTCCCTGCTGCTTCCCTCTCCTCATCGTGAGAGGCCATTAATTTGGAAAGGAAAGGCAGCCTTTTTGGCTTTGCTTTGCTTGCTTGCACTGAAAATGAAACTGACTTTGGGAGGCTTCCAAGATTTACAAAATTACATGAGCTTATCATAGTTCCTCATGTTGTGGAGACCCCCAGCCAATTTTGCTTTCTCTCTGCTGCTTCCCTCTCCATTAATTTGAAAAGGAAAGGCGGCCGTTTTGGCTTTGCCTTGCTTTCTTGCACTGAACATGAAACTGACTTTGGGTGGCTTCTGAGATGTACAAAATTAAAACAAAAA